AAATATGGTTGGCTCTTCGGTTTGAAGATAAATAATTGTCTCCGGTGCATTTTGAATAGTAAAAGAATGATTTAAACAAGGAGGACTTGTTATTCGAATGCAAAACATTGTTTACTCAAAGGAGCCTAGTGCCTAGTGCCTAGCGTCGCCAAAGATAGGCTAGGAGGGTACTGCATGAAAATACATGTGTAATCAAACTATTTCAGAGTTCTTGCATCACACGATTTACTGAGTTATACTATGTACCTGTTTTATGAAGTAGGATGTAGTGATTTGAGGAGGTAATATCCGTTTCTTCAATAATATTCCTTCTCCCAAGGCAAGACCTAAGACCTGACCGTCGGCACGGCAGCAAGATGGCTGACGAGTGTGTTTGTCCCGCGGAGCAGGCTGCCTTTGCAACCAACATTCCACCACGAACACGAAAATATTTTGTCGCTTAAGATTGCATCGAGTTTCTAATGCATGATGTGTAGAAACGTTTGAAAGCTATCGTAATGTTTACTTTTTAGTCGAAAATGATGTGCTGCTGTGTCAAAAGGAACGAAAAATACACTTGTTACGCATGTCAGGTTGGTACGGGTTGGTACCAACTCTGCAAATTTGCGTACCCTTAACTCCCAAACCACATAAAAGTCTTAATTTTTGTTTGGTTGCAGTGTCGTAGGACCAAGCGAGCAAAACTGGGACATTTTTGCATAAATATAGTCAATTTTACTTAAACGTTGACATTTCGATGACAAAGACTAAGTTTTTACGAACTCATGACCATAATGCTTACTGTGCCAGCCACCGGGTTCACACGCTCATCTACAGCCTATGTCGACTTACTTCACTGGTAGTCGCCGTTGAACTTCGAAGTTCTGTGTCGCGGTCCCATTACAACAAGGAAGATGCACGTCAGATCACGTCTCGCGTAACAGGCTTCGTGATGTCTCACGAAACACTGTTCGCTGCGACGCGCCTGGCATACATCTACCTTCGCCAGCGGCGCTGACACCTGAGTCAGGTAGTGGAAAAATGTACACAAAGGTACGCCTACGCCTAC